TATCTCGGAAAGACGTCTTTCCGAGATAAATTATCTCGGAAAGACGTCTTAATAAGTACTTATTCCATGTTTCCATGATAATTATCTTGGAAACTCGGAAACGCGGAAGGTCACTTTAAGCTTCCGTAAAATATACCTCCTCTGTTATTACAGTAGTAGTGCCGCATGGTGGCGCTATACTATCTTTGGTCTTCTCGGTGGTTGTTGTTGCTGTGCCTGTGTGCATCAATATTTTGAATTCATGCTAGTATTTATCGTTATCTGAAAATGAATTTAGAACTATTAGGTAAGAATGGGAATGTATACATTAATTGAAACAATGTATGGGCTTGGGCTAGACCTTGGCCCACTTTGAATGAGATTAGATTTTGTTAGGCCTACCTAGGCTAGGCCTCAACAAGCATGCCTGGGCCCTGGCTGGGCTAGCTAGGGTAGGCAAGGTTGGCTGGGTTCTCTAGGCTAAAGTCAAACTCTTTAAAGCCCCATTCCCGGCAAAATTTCAGTTGTTAAGAAAACTCAGATTTTTGTTATAAATATAAAGATTTATAATAATACGAAATTGCTAGTTTAGACCTAGGCCTAACTGAATTTGGACATTACTAAACATGAAAAAAATCAGACTGATATTTGATTTTTTGTGCGGATGAATTTGAATAACCCCTGAATTTGCGTAGTAACAAAGAATTCGTCGAGAAAATGGTAATCTCCTACAGTATGACAAATAGTCTGTATTTCTCATTTTTTTATTCTTTTACGTAAAACTAAAATTTATGCCAATATTTTTCCATTAATATTTAAAATAATTAGAGTAATGCATCTAAAAAAAATTCTTTTTCAGTGAAATTTTTCCGGGAATGGGGCTTTAATATCTTTCTTGTGCTATACTGTCCCATCCATACTAATATGTAGAAGCCTACTAGGCCGCGTATTGCTTTTCATACTGCAGCATTGTTTTGTACGTTTGGTGAAGATAAATCAAATATTTCAGTTTGATTTTTAAATCATGATACTGATAGGACTGGATACGGCCTGCAGTAGGCCTAGACCTATGCCCTAACTAGAGCTAAACTATCTAGGCTAGACAAGGCCTAGGGCTAAGGCTCTTCTTAGAGCCTAAGGCTAGTCCTAGGACTAATTATTTATTTAATATGGTTTTATTGTATTTCAGAATCATTTGGCCAAAACTATCCCGAGGTAAGCTTTATTTCAAGCACATTGATTTTTAAAATTTGTTTAAGAAAATAAGTTTTGTTTAGCATATATTAACCTACAGAAACCTAGGTTGTTCATTTATTTATTCAACCACAATTTACATGATAAAAAGGTTAAACTCATCTTCTTCTAAAGTCTAAAGGTTTTTTCTTCACAATATATAAAAATCACCAAAGGTTAGAGGCAGTTCAAGAGAAAAGAATCTTTGTAACCCATGAAGTGTCAACTGCCCCTTTAACAAACACACACAAACTGAACTAAACACTGAAGTCAATATATTTGCATACACTGTATTTTACTTTGAAAATACCAAGTATATTTCCTCATTTTTTAAGTGTTACTCAAAAAGTAGCAAAATATTAACCTAAAATTTTGCACTGTGGCTAGAGGTCTGTGTACTGGTTCCATTGTCATTGGGTTCAAAATACTTGTTTAAACATCAAATATGCCAGAGCAGGTTTGGCTTTTACCATAGGGCCCCAAATTTCTTTTTTTTACAGATGAGATTTATAATAATAATAATGAAAATTTGTTTTTGTTCCGATATCCATCTAGAAAGACGCTCAAGTCGTATCGATACAACAGCGCACTTCAAAGGCTTAAATACCTAAAACTTGAAATTTAATATATTTAATAATAATTATTAACTTTAAAAACTAATCAACGCATGGGTCAGTTATTTCAAATTGAGTACTGGCCCTGGTAACGAAAACAGCCTCATGCAGGCACTCCATTCGACAACATGCTGGGCTCCGGTAGTTTCCACAATTAGCTAATCCCATGTTGCTCAATGGGGTATGAGACACTCTTCGTTGTAAAAATAAATCAATTATCTGTGCATAGAGAAAGTTTAGTTAAGTTTACAGGTAGTTCAGCGTAAAATTTTTTACTTGGTAACATATTGAATGTTCGTCATGATTATTTGACTTACATTACCAGTCATTGCTGGAGGTTACTTATTATAATAATTACGTTTGAAATTTGAAAGTGATCTGTTGATGTCGTCTTACAGGAAAGTGACGGTACCCTAGATTGCATTAGCATAGCCCTGACCTGTTGCTTCAACAAGCGAGGCAGTCTTTTAGCTGTTGGTTGCAACGATGGAAGGATTGTAATCTGGGATTTCTTGACAAGGGGCATCTGCAAGATCATTAGTGCGCATATTCACCCTGTATGCTCGTTAAGGTAGGGCGAATCAAGCAGCTAAGCGGCGGTAACTCGCGGAGGGGGAGTGTAACCCAGAGACATAGATCAACGCTTGTTTGTACCCTTTTCGCTCATGAATCCAGGTAGTAAAACCAAGGCGTCCTGGATATGGACTATAAACCGTAGACCCAACATATAGTATATCATTCATTTTAAAGAACCCGGAACATCCTGGGTCATTCCATGTCAAATCAACCAGAGGTCCCCAGGTGACCCCCCTCAGATTTTAATGAAATTTGGTCAGAATGATGATATGTTGCTCATATGAACACATGCAAAATTTGAAAGTCATACTCCATGTCGTTTTTGAGATATGGCCGTTTGAAATTTGCTGGACTTAGTTCATTTTACGCACTCGCGAATCGCGAAAAGTGACATTTTGAATAATTTCGGATTTCA